AAAAAGAGAGGGACAAGTCTTTGGAACAAATTTAGCTTAATGAAAACAAAATATCATTTGGACGAGAGAGTCGGGATGGCTGCAGGAGAGGGCAAGGTCAAGGGGAGCGTAGTCCAAGAGGGAGGGAGTCCCGCCAGTTCTCCGCACATGGGCACTTGGTGTGGAAGATGGTCGCAGCTCAGCAAGTCAGCCAAAGTGAGAACTCCACGACTACACTGAGAAACTAAGCAATGGCTCTCACCTCTTTTTCCCAAGTTCCCATCCCCAGTATTAGTTCAGTAGTTAGATAACCCTCAACTAACTCAGGAAGGTTGCAGTGAAGAACAGAGGAGCGGTTAGACTTAAACCAACTGAAATAGACCACGGGAAAAGTCAAGTTAAATACGTGCTCAGCCAGAAGAAGACAGACCTGCTCAGCCTGCGAGGTCCTCTGCCTGAGGAGGGCCAGCTCTGAGTTCAACATCATTCGTCCACTCTGCATCATTTAATGCTCTGAATTGCCTGGTTGCGCCCATCTTAATCCGTCATGAGAATCTTCTTCTTCCAGGCAGATGTATTCAAATCTACTTAAGCAATTATTTTTTTCTCATCTCTAAGCTTCTGCTCAACTCTTACCTCCTATGTGAAATACTCTCTTCTCTCTATCTGGACGTTCATTTCATGGTAACTCACCAAGCGATCTTTTTCGATTATTCAGTTTTGAAATCTCATCTCTTCAGGTGCTCTCTTAACAATGGAAGAAGACAGAATGACCTCCTAATGTGACACGCATCACCTTCTTCTCTTGCTAATAAACACAGGCGTTCCTTCCCTACCTTTTGGTCCTTTGCTTCATTAATCACTTGTTCATTTGCTCTGTCGCTCTTTATATGCGTACAAAATCTCTGTTGTCACTGGAATATGTCTTAGGTGGAAAGAAACTGTGTCTCTTTCATTCGCTTTGCACAGTTTCTAGCAAAGCACTGCATGGAAAGAAAGAGTTCCTTTAATAAAAGTTTTCATGATGCCATGTAAAGGCTCCTCTACCACATCTCTTAGTGGATCGTGTGTATATTTCTGCCTTGTGGCTTTCGGGTGTCTGTAGGATCTGTGGATCTAAAGAGAAGGCTCCAGAGCAGGGCAACTGGGGGAAGGGATCCAAGCCACATGCCTTTTCTATCCTAACAGTCACACCTTAGTTTGAAGTATAGCTGTGAACACAGCAGTCTTGGACATTCCTAGGATGATGTATTTGTTCATGAAGTTTGGGGAGGAAATGATGAAAAAAAATGCATGATTCTGGTCATATGAGAGCCATTTACTGAGCACCTACTGGATAACAGACACTGGAAAAACACTTCATGTACATCCATTTAACAGCATGAACAGTGTGTCTAATCCACTCCCCAGAAGAGGCGATTGAAGCATTATTCCATCCATCAGTTTATAAGTGAGAAAACTGAGGGTCAGAGAGGTTTAATGGCACCCCCCCCCCAGCCAGGTGCCTGCCAGGGTCTCTCTGGCTCCAAAGCTGAGACCACATACTGACTGCCTACATCTGGCCACAGATGTCTGGTCTGACCTACAAAGCATTTTATTTTGTATTTGAATTC